CTCTCTCTCTCTCTCTCTCTCTCTCACTCACTCAGTCAAGAATTCTTTTGTAATTAAATATCTTTGAATTTGAATTTACTCCATTAATATTAATGTGAAAATATTATACGTAAAACAAAATCCAGTATAAGAGCATGATTAGATTGTATGAAATATTTTTATATTAAATACCTGTTTTATTTGATTATTGCATTTTCATAATCAAAAGATTATTCTCGAGTGGTTTTCAAATAGATAAACAGCTATTTCTTTAATATACTGTAACTAATAATTCAATTATTGTCAACGATATCTACTGTAAATTCATACGACATTTTGTTGTAAATCATAAATGTTGCACTTTCTGTTCGAAGATTTTGTACTTAAATTATTTGATTAAAACACAAAATATTGTTCTGTGTTTTGTGTGAAGTTTTTCTGGTTAATTTATCATAATTTAGTAAAAATGAGTGAATTATCAAAAATGCTGACCATGTGCTTTAATATTCCTGTAAATATTAGAGCACATATTGTAAAACTTCACGTTTTTAATGGTTTTCTTGAGAAATATAATGTATTATTTGTGACAAACAATGATAGCGTCTATTGTGTTGGCAAGAATTACAAGGGATGTCTGGGTTTGGGCCACAACTTTCCCGTACTATCACCAGAAGTGATACAACAATTATGTCATCAAAACATCAAATACTTTGTCAATGGATTGGATTTTGTGTTAGCAGTGAATGAAAATAATATGATATACGGTATGGGAAGTAATGATCATGGTCAATTGGCTCAAAAACATAAAATTGATAAATTACCACCAGATATAATATCATATTTGAACGACAAAAATATTGTACAACTAAGTTGTGGTTTTGCTCACACACTGGCCCTAACCAGTGATGGCCGGGTGTATGCGTGGGGTAACAATCGCTTCGGACAAATTGGTTGCGGAGATAGTAATGCAATGATTTGTACGCCAATTGAACTGCAGTTTAATGATTTTAAAATACAATCCGTTTATTGTTGTTATTCCTCTTCATTTGCCATCACATTCGACGGACATGTCTTCAGTTGGGGTCTGAATAGTAACCAACGATTTGGAGGCAATATATGTGAAAATTTAAAAGTATTTAACCCCCGATTGATATCAAACATAAAAGATGTGAAAGCAATGAATTGTAGTTATTATGGCACATATTTTCACACAACAAATGGTTTGTATTTTTGTGGAGAATATTATGAAAATAATAATAAATTGGTTGAAAAAAGTCCGAAACAAATACTTTGCGATCAAAATATCAAAAATATAAGACAAACGAAATCATCAAATAATTATGATTTTATTAATGATAAAGATTTAATGTGTGTTTCAATTAACGATAAAATATATTATTTCACTAAAGAACACAAAGTAATTGAAACAATTTATAATAATTATATCGATTATTACATCAATGTATGGAAAGTAACTTATAATACACTTGAATTGAATGCAATCAATGAAATAACAATATTTCCATCAAATGAAAGTAAAATACAGAGTTTAGACGTTATGTCAATCGATGGCAATAATGCGAGTGGCAGTCAATTATCACAACCAATGGACAGTCTTAACGATAGTCTTAGCGCAATGGATATATGTGATGGTGATTATGAAATATATGATAAATTTACACAAAAGTGATATCACTTTAATGATTATTAATATTTGACAGTTGAGGGCCAAGAGTCGCATAACAACTTTTACATTGATAATTTTGATCAACTCAAGGAGATAGGGAACGGAGGGTTTAACAATGATCAATTTAATGATGGTAATTATAAAATTCAATTCATTGAGATGTCAGCCATAGGTTCGGGTGGTTTTGGGACTGTATTTAAAGTAAAGCATAGATTGGATGATAAGATATATGCCGTTAAAAGAGTGCAATTCGGGGGTAAATATAATATAATGTCTATTTATTTAATTCATTCATTAAATTTTAACAAATATTTTATAAAATATTTTTACAGGTTTTAGTGAAGAAAAGAAACAAAAAGTTATAAAAGAAGTGAAAAGTTTGGCAAAAATGGAGTCAGAATTTGTGATCAAATATTACAACTCATGGCTTGAGTCCAATCATCTCTACATTCAAATGCAATTCTGTCCGCAAAGTCTTCGATCGCTTCTCAAAGACAAACCCATTGTCTTTCAAAGACAACCGGAAGACCAGATGAATGCCATCGAGTATTTCATTTCATGTGAAATATTCAGAGAGCTCTTAGAGTGTGTCCAATATCTACACGAATCCAATCCAGTGGTCATTCATAGGGATCTCAAACCGGAAAACATATTAATTGATTACAACTTTAGTTTTAATCGGTTTGTAAAACTCTGTGACTTTGGTTTAGCCACTGAACACAACACCGATAGACAGACTGCCAGCCGATACGGCCATACGTTAGGTGTGGGCACAAAGACATATATGTCGCCCGAAGTTTATCATTATAAGCAATATAACCACAAAACAGATATTTATAGTCTCGCACTAATCGCCGAAGAGATCTATAGTATTGATCCACAAAAGTGAGTGTTTTTATCAATTATTTTTGTGTTTTATATAATTGTTGTTATATTTTATATTTATTTATAGTTCGCTTTCGTCGCAAGCAATTGAAACCGAGTTTAATAAATATTACAATAATCTATACCAGACTTTGCAGTCAATGCAGTCGAGTCCAGACTATCAGCAAAGACCTGAGTGTCGGGTAGTGTTGGCCAAACATAGCGAGTGGTCTATCGATAAGACTGTTGCCAAGAATAACAAAGATTTCAATTCAACGATAAATGCACTCAAATCTAATGATAATTCAATTTTCTATGAAATTTTATTTTGTAAAACACAATAATTTATTGCTATAGGTCTATCGATAAGACTGTTGCCAAGAATAACAAAGATTTTAATTCAACGATAAATGCACTCAAATTTAATGATAATTTAATTTTCTATGAAATTTTATTTCGTAAAACACAATAATTTATTGCTATACATAAGACTATGGTTTAATACTAGAGCTATCTTACTTTAATTACCTAATTAATTACCATTAATAAATTTATATTTCAACATCAGGATAGTTGCGGCCGTATATATGAGGCACCGATTGGCGATATATCCGCTAATATCTAACCAAACATCTAAGACATGTCTGTTTTGAGCCAACGCTAAGACAATACATCGCATGAATATATTCTTTGTGGAAAAACAATTACCATGATCATAACCAACAGACTGGGTTTTAATTAGAATATAATATAGTACTGTAAACACTACTGTATAATAATAACTATATATCTGTAACTCTATGGGAACGTTGTCACCAAAATTATTGCTTTATTATACAGCAAATTAAATTTGTTTTCGTATTATTTTTAACGTTGGACTACAGCTTAGACCGAGATTATTAGTGATACATGATTTATTGTCTAGGGTGTTTTTAAGGCTAATTATCATAATTCAATTATTCCATCTATCCGATTGATAAATGACCCTGATTTAAGCTAAAGTCAATTTTACAACATTTACAGTATTATTAACACAATTTTTAATTATATATTTTAGGTTGATTTAAACTTGATAAACCATGTTTATAATTTATGTAAAGTTTACATTATTAAATTATATTTTCCATACTTTTAACTAGTGCTATGTTATCAACTAATATTAGTGCAATGTTAACCACTTTCTCATTAACCATACGTTTATCTCATGATTATTGTATTCAATAAAATACTGTCATTATATCCTCTTTTCCTTTGAATGTTACCTATTCTTTGTCTGTCTTATAATACCTACTCTTGCGATATCTGAGCTTTCATTTCGCATCCCTTTCCCCCACACCTCCCAACCCATCAATTCATTTATCTATTGCTATCTCACGATGCGCTCATATGATTGTCCATACGATTTATTAATGGTCTCTCTCTCTCTC